CACAACCAACCCGACAACCTGCTGATCCACGACCTCACCAATCGCACTCCCACAAATGTGGCGTTCGCACGGAGCAAAGTCCTCCACTCCACCTCCCACATCACCTCACATCACAAAGTCGACACTGCTTAACTCGTCCATCCAAATCGCCTACCTCACGCAGACCAAAATGCCATCTCTCGTGCATTTCTCTTTGTAGCCAAAAGCGAAGTGAAGACGCGCAACGTGACAGCCACAGCCTACATTCTCGGAACACTAGAGAAGGAAGAGTTCGGTTCTGGTTGTCTACTACCTCAGCCGGAGTACAGCGATTACTACGAGCTTCGAGTGGTTGAAAATGCCCTTTCACTTAGTGAGAACAACGCAACCGTGTGTACCATAGTCACCTGGACTGTCGATGACGCCAGTGCGCGAAGTCTTCTCGGATACGTTCTCGAAATAACCCAATCGACTGCCAACACTTGTCGCCTTATTTGGATTCCTTGTGTGGACTGTTTTCCACACCATAGTTTGGTAAGACTTGCACCTCTTTCCTCTCCCTCCCAACCCCTCCTCCCTCTCTACCTACCCACCTCCCTCCATCCATCCTTCCTTCCTTCCATCCCTCCTGCTGCTACCGTTTGCCGATGGTCACCGCAAATGCCACAAGGTGGCACGATGTCCACCATCTTTCAGCGTCAGTCACCACACCATTAGCCATCCATAGTTGTAGAGTAGAATCGTCGTGCTGGCAAAAGCATTTGTCCACACTGTTGTCATTGAGGCGAGTCACCCACGTCCAAATGCATTGTGAGGTGGTGGAGCGATGCCACAGCCTCATCTTTCGCAAGACAATCCAACATCATGCCAAATGATTGGTAATTGTGAGGTCAGCTAATCAACTCTATTGACAATACCTTGGACGACAGCTGCTACCTACAGCAAGAAGTCCTCCTCATTGCCATTGTGAATTGCACTAACGCATGTCTCCCCTTCAGCGGAATGCCTTGCCTGCGGTGGAGGAACAGCTGCGTGAAATAGAGACACAATGCACAAAGGTTTCTACACAATTGTTGCAGCACGCAGAACGCCTCGACTCCAAACTCTACAGGACGACAATCCGCCTCGTGTTGGGATTTCAGAGTAGTGGTGAGACAAATGATACGTTCTCGGGGATGGTGAGAGTCCACGCTGTGAAGATGGGTTCGGTTCATCAGATAATGGAACATTATTGGCCGTCGACTGCTAAAGGTAAAGCAACGAGTTAAG